ATCTTGAGAGGTGACTTGAATCCTTTTTAAATAGGGGGACCACTTTTATGTACCTTTCTTTAATTGCAAATGTCATGGAAATGTCTGTTTCTAGTTGGCCTGTTTTTTGTTCGTTTGTCCGGGGGAATGTTTTTCTTGTTTTGGGAGTACTCAAGGGAGTTAAATACATGAGAGGACTCCTAAATATTTTAATTGCAGCTATGACATTTATTACATTAACGACTTTTATCCTTTGGAATAACCTATAATGTAAACTGCAGAAGTGGGAAGGAGAGAAGAAAACATAGGGCTACTTAACATGTTTGCTCTTTGTCCTCATTCTGGAGTTTTTGTTTCTAATTCTTTTCACTGGTAGAACACACACTTTCCAGTGGCTTTCTCAGATTTCTTTTCTCAAAGCCTTGCCTATCTGAGCGTATTAACTGGTTGCTTCTACACACAGATGACAGCTTGGCAGGATTTTCCCTTTTTGTCTCTTCTGATCATTTCCATTGGAACTGGGATGTGAGTTGATGGAAAGTAGTTCCAGCCCAGTTTTCAAGTAAGAAACATGAGACTCACATGAGCAGGTAATAAATGTTGAATATCAGAGTTCTCGGGGGTAGGGTGGCCAGGGAAGCCTTGATTTATGGTGTTTGCTGATTTCTATGGTATAAATACTCCCATCATGGCTGATTTCAAGCTATGAGATGTTACTCAACACCTAGTTGGAAAGAAATGCACAGTAGCAAACCATTACATAACCTTTCAATTAAATAAATATGAAAAATATAATTCCAGAGCATAGATGATAGAAAACATAGTAAACATGGTAAAATAGTTAAGTAGTGATGAGTTTTGAGTATTTATCACTTAATTTTTAATATAACATATTTAATGGTAAGCTTTTATACTCTAATTTTGAACAATAGCTGCATTGAACAGCTGACTCTCAGAGTTCCCGGAGATCTAACCATTGGTTTTAACATATTGACTGGGACCCAGAAAAGCCATTGTCCTTCCCAAGGTTCAGTGAATGAGTCATTCACTGAACCAGGATTAGTACAAGTCATTTCTAAAACCCAAATTTCTCTGGAAAGACTTACTTATTGATGTATCTGTTTATTCATTTGTTTATTTATTTGTCCTACATGGTTTAAAGATTTAATGAATTTAGACTGTAGCAGACCATTACTATCTATTGAGACAATGAGTCAAAATATTTGAATATATGTAATTACAACCACAGATGGGTGAGTGGAAAGCCGATTAGATTTAGGGCCATAAATGAATCCTGGTTTTGAGTCTTGGTTTTGCTGCTCAACAGCTTACAACATATTTTATTCTCTAGTTCAAGTTGTCTAGACTGTGAGATGAAGGAATTGGACCATATGAACATATACTACCTCATGTATGTCTAACATATCATGATTCATTATTTAGACCCATCAGTTCAACAGCTATTTGCTTAGAACCAATTATATTCACATTTGTTATGGACTCCACTCCAGGCAGAACTGGATATAAATGCAATCAGAGTAATTATTATTAGAATAGCATCTCATGTTAATGCAGAGCCTTTTAATACAACAAAGAGAAACTTTGAGTCTCTGAGGTTCTATGACAGTATGAGATCAGGACACATCTTCACAGAATGTTAGTGAGAGCAGAACCTATTCTAAAAGGACAAACAGAACTCTTACTCCTAGGAAACGCAAGAGGTCATAACCAGGTAGTAATAAGGAATAAGGAACAAGCCATGCCTACCAGTTGCTTCACTGATAAAAAAGCAAAATAAAAAATTAGACTTTCTTCTAATTATAAGATTAATTATTGTAGAAAATTTAGAAATTATTAATGAGTATTAAATAAGGACAATATACTATACACTCAATTTAATAGCTTGCTTTCCTTTACCTAAAATTTTAGTGTATTTTATAAAACATTCTCAGTAGAGTCATTTTAATTGCTGAATATGATTCCATTTTTCTGATGTACAGTAACTTAAATTGTTTACATTGTTGACAGTTTATCACTGTGATAAATACCTTTGTTGATATAAAAAAATTGTATCTTGTACACATGATTTCCAATTGTAATAGTTAAGGTTTTTAGTAAGAAGGTTTTGGGCTTCACAGGTGGCGCTAGTGGTAAAGAACTTGCCTGCTAATGCAGGAAACATAAGAGATGTGGGTTCAATCCCTGGGTCGGGAAGATCCTCTGGAGGAGGGCATGGCAACCCACTTGAGGATTCTTGCCTAGAGAATCCCCGTGGACAGAGGAGCCTGGCAGGCTGTAGTCCATAGGGTCACAAAGAGTCGAACACAGCTGAAGTGACTTAACACATACACGCAGTAAGACAGTTATAGTGAATCACAGATTTTGACCTTTAGCATATTTGATTCTGCCAATATTGTTTTGTACTTGCATATATTTTATTCTGTTTCTGAACATTTATTAAGAGGAGCAGTTTGCCTGTATCCTTCAATAAGATGTATTTGAACTGGAAATAGCACCAATATTTTCATATCACTTCAAGTAGATATATAATACAGTGGAGGGTTAATAATTTTTTCACTCTCTGCGGGCAATAACTTCCAATACAGAGTTTATTACTTTAGAAAGGACTCAATAAATGTTCAATAAATGAAAAGACTTTGGCTGATTTAGGATAGGCAAAATACATTAGTGAAAGAAGTGAAGGAAAAAAAATACTCCATTCATGATATGACTTTCATTTTCATCAAGAGAGATGACAGCTAAGCACAGTCCAGGAACTCTGACCATTAAATGAAACAGTGAAATGAAGTATGTTGTTTTTTTAATTCACCTGCATGGGAAACCATGACTTTAATAGTTATTTGATTAAATGTTAACGGGGACTTCTAAGTTGACCCAATTCTTGCCTTTGTGTGTTAGATTTGTCAGTTAAAACAAGACCAATTTCACCTTTCTTTCTTTAACATCTTTGAGTCAACATTTGCTGACAAAAGAACTTGTAACTACCCTGGTTATTTAAATATTAATGACTTCCATTAAAGGGGGCTGGATGTTTACAGCAGGATGATTGAGAAATTAGATGGTACGATTAGTTCCTTGTTTCTGCCTGCAGGAAAAAAACCTCTTAATGAAAGAGCTCCTTCCAATATGTTTTTAATACCACAGATTTTTTCCCCCCCGTGAACCAGTTAGAGAGTAAGATTGTTGACTTCAAGCATTCCTTGAAAGTAGCTGTTATTAAAACATTAGCATAACAAGTTCTTATAATTCAAGAAAAATCTTTTATCAGTGCCATAGAGGTCATAATACTTGGGCTTCTTGGGAACCTAATTTCAGTTTCTAAAGTCATTTTGTTCCTTATTATAGTAAGTAGACAAAACCACTCTTAAGTACATGGTCTGGTTGGTTGGGCTTGTTTACACTGTCTGGGGAATTCTGTTAAGTTAACCATGAAAGACTTGACAAAGGTTATGTATTCAATCAAATTATAATTGTAAACTTTTATCTTATTGGAGAAATGTGGCTGAAAACCTTTCTAAATTTGCTAGAACCAATATTTTCCTATTATGCTGAATTGGGTTGTGATTAGCATGTGGTTAATAGGTTACAACACCTTGTATGTTTTTAAGGTATATTAATGACTTGGTATATTAAGGCTCTGAACAATCAGGGGAAGCATTGTATTTGCCTATATTGTATATTTCTCTTTGCATGCAGAATCTGAGTGAGCAGGGTATTTAACTAGCAGTAGTACAGAGTCATTTAATAGCACTGGTGCAAGAATCATATTACTTAATAGAGTCAGGATTAACAGAAGCAACTGAGGCACCTGCCTTGGATGTAAAATCTAAGAGTGCCAAAAAACTCAGTAATCAAGATAAATAATATTTAATGCAATACTTGAAAAAATCAAAATTAGCTCAAAAAAATCCTTGATAGACAAAAATTTCAAAATTAAAAAAAAAGATAAGGTCCCATTTTACATCTACATCAGACTCACCTTACCCTCACCCAGCCCTGACTGCATACTAGTTCTGATTTCTCTGCTTTGATGTCTGTAGATAAGGTACTCCTTTGAGTCACATTTTCCATGTCTAAGATTGATGATGATAACCCTTGTTTTCCTGGTTGAGTTATCAGGATGTTCAGATCAGCTAAAAATGCGTTGGAAAAACCCATTGTAAATACAGTTCACATGTTTACAAGTTTAGGGAATTCACCATACATTTTTATGCTATTATTATCAAGCAAACATCAGGTTAGAAGATCCTTGAAAAGCTTTGTGTTAATAAAGTGTGAGGTCTATCTTTTGAGTTTGCTGGTCAGCTTGCTATAGGGGTAAGGGCTTATAAATGGTTGTAGGATCTTCCCTCTCTTCTTTCTTTCTTTTTTGTTCTTGAATGCAAAGTTTAGTGATTTGTAAGAGATAAAAAGCTGGCCAGAAATCTGTTCTGATTATTTTAAATTTCCCTGCAAAACACCCATGGACAAATCAGGTCTCACCTTTTCTCAAGCTTTGCCTTCCACCAGTGATGGCTTCCCCATTTCTCCTGCCTAACTGAGTTCCACCCACCTTTTACTCACCTTCTACCTTGGTAAGGCCTTCCTTCCTAGGTTCTCCTGTCCTGAAATATGTTCTGAGTCCTCTGCTTGGAGTGGATGACTGTCCCTCCCACTCACTTTGTGATTTGTTTAGAGTCCCTGTTGTCTTCATGCTTCCTGTAATCCTTCATAGAATTTATTTTCCAGACCACAGTTTTATAAATAGAAGTTGTTGCTCTAGTTATATTGCCAATCACTTAAATAGCCTTCCATTAGATTGTTAATTTCAGGATGAGCAAGGACTGGGTTGATCTTACTTAGGCTGTATCTAAGGTACTTAGCAATGAGTTTTATATGTATTTTTTGAGTGACTAAATGAGTGTTTTGCATATAAAGGGGTTTGATAAATATTTACCCTTTGGATTCATTTGTGGAAAGTTATTGTTTTCATTCTAGGCCCAGAGGGAACAGTCGGTGCCATGTGGAAGGCACTTTTTTTGCTGGTCTTGTTGGCGCTCAGCCCTGGTGCTGATGGGCTGTTTCGATCCTTGTACAGAAAAGCCCATGTTTCCAGACCACGTAAAGGAAACCCAGGACAGCCGTTATTTCTGACTCCTTATATTGAAAGTGGGAAACTTGCAGAAGGTAAGCTTACATCTGAAACCGCTGAAACTGTATACTTTCAACAGTTGTTGTTTTAGCAGATGTCTCACAGGATCCAAAAGACAATATGATATTTTACTCAATTGTTTTATTTCAAATGTTAACAATTTGATATCATATAGTATCAGAGTTTTGAGCTAAAAGGAAAGTTCATCAGGGTCAGATTAACTAGTAGTTGAGTCTCCACATATCTGTTTATAAAACTAGTATATTGCCTGTCACAAATGGTCATTTAATAGGGCTAATAATAACCTTAGAATTTACTCAGTGTCAGTTATTGCTTCCAAGCATTTGATATAAAATCATTTAAGCATCTCAACAACCTATTTAAGCCTTTTTACACAGAAGATAACTAAAGCAGAAAGAGATGAAGTTACTTGCCAGTCATGCAGACACCAGCTGGTAGATGCAAGGGTCACATCCAGACAGCTTCATTCCAGAGTCTAAGCTCACAGCCATTGTGCTTGGCCCCTTTGCCTGAGAAGTTATCTGAGTCTTAGGATTCATTTTTCTCATTGGTTAGATGGAGATAAAACAATTCACCCAAGTCACAGAGATGTTAAAAATATCAGATTAAAAAATGTACATGAAAACTCTTTGTAACCTGTAAGCTGCTCTCTAAATACCTGTATTTGCTGATGGCTTTTATTTAGAGATTGTCCTAATACTAGTACAAAAAGTGTCATTTTGTGTCATCAGAGTCTAAAATTTATGACCTGCCTCTACTCTTAATGCTTCTTCATGCTTAGAGAAATCACTGTATAAGATAAATGATGTAATCTTTCTGGATCTCACGATGCTCCTAAACTATAAAATAGTATATAGACAGCTGTCCTGCAGAGCTGTTTGTAAAAGGAAGCAGAGAAATGGGGTGGTGGCTGAGGAGAGTTATGGAGTCAGGAAGGGTCATTAAGAGGGTATGAGATAATGACAAAAGTGGTCCAGTAGAGGGGAAAGGTGATGGGCTGGGACATCTTTTGGTGGAGCATATCTTGGAGATGAGCATCCATAGATGGAAGTCTTGGTGTTTGCTTTGGATTTTATCCCTAGTCACATGTAGGAAGGCAGACTTAATCCTTGTGAAGCTGATATGCTGGTAGGTTTCATGGGCATGTGGAACTGAAACTAGAAATTTTAGGGAAATGATCATTTTAAAGATAAAAAATAAATGCATATACTCTGTATGGAAGTTTAAAATAAAGCTACTTTTCTTCATTTGAAGAGATCTCATAGTCAATAGACTGTCATCATTTTTTTTTTTAATTTAAAGCCAAAACATTTTCCCTTCTTATGGGTGCATTTGAGTTCTGTTAATGTATCTTTGCCTGAAATATGCATTGATTCCATGTTTCATCATGTTTTTTGGTAAGAAAAGGTGAAAAACTTTGATAATATAGTCAATGATAATATAACGAGGCAATGCGGTCTTTTTTTTAAAAGATTCAGTTTTGCTTGGTGCAGAAAAGTCATGACGATATGGCAGCCCAGTGGTGTAGGCTGGCGTCACGTGACATAAATGAAGAGGCAAATTATCATTAATCTAAATCTACCCAGTTGAGTCATATGCATTGCTTTTAGCTTCTTTAGTAAGTGGGTGCTGATGACTGAGATTATGTTCATTCACATAGCAGAGTTAAATACTCATCACCAAACCCTACCAATCCACAGATGAGGAGCTTGAGACTCAAATATTTTGTGTGACTTGCCCAAGAGGACACAGGTAATTGTAGCAGAGATGGGATCAAGATCTGGATTTTCTGCCTTCTGCTCTGTAATTCGCCTACTATAATTTATTTTCCTTTGTTTAAAACACTCATCCTCTTGTGGAGTAACCAGACGCACACACGTGAAACAAGGAATCAGGCAATGGACGCTGAAGTGCTAAAAGATTGCATTTGAGGTAGATACGCAGTCAGTTTTTAGAAGGAAGCTACCCCTGTTGGTTGGCATAATCCAGGTAGAAAATAGTAGAACTAGTAATAATAGTAGTAGTAAGAAATAAATAGCTAACGTTTATTTGTAATTATATCCCCTGTTCCTGCCACAGTGCCTGTATGTAATAGGCACTCAAAAAATATTTATAGAATTTGAATTTGAGACCTAACTATGTTCCAGGAATTATGCTTTACACACATTATCTCTTTTAATCCTTAGAGCAACCCTAATGAAGAATGAATAGTTACTGTTCTCATTTTATAGATGAGAAGACTGAGGCCTAGAGAAATTAAGTATCTTGCCCAGGGCTATGTAAAGCTAGTAAGCGGCAGATCTGACTTTAAAACCTGTCTCTGCTGAGTCATGATTCCTGGGTCAGGAAGATCCCCTGGAATAGGAAATGGCAATCTACTTCAATATTCTTGCCTGGAAAATTCCGTGGGCAGAGGAGGCTGGCAAGCTATAGCCCATGGGGTCACAAAAAGTCAGACACAACTGAACACGCCCACACACACACACAGACACACACTGCTGACTCACAGCTCAAGGTAGGAACCACTGTGCTATGTGGCCAGACTTGAAGATATAGGATAAGATTTGGGCAAGTAAGAGAGAGCCTGTACATCCTGAGTGAGGAAGACAGCTTAAATAGCATTAAGGGAAAGTGTCTTTGAATTGTACATCAGGTAGAACCAAGTGCAGAGAATATAGGGAAATCTGCCTGAGATTATCCACATCCCACCCATTCCTGGATTTCTTGCCTATGATCATTTCCTTCTTATGGATGTTAATGGTAGTCAAGAAAGATTTCAAGGGAGATAGTTTTATTTTCTATCCTTTTGTGCCAACCCTGTTAGATCACCATCTGATAAGTGACAACATTTAAAATATTAAATCTGGTGTAACATCACTTTCTAAAGTTCTGTTACATAGTCAAAAATCTTTGAATGGAATTTTAAATGGCTGATCCAAAATCTGGTACATCTGGGTATTCAAATGTAGCCCTGACAACATACTTAAGGATAATTTTATTCATTCTCACTTTACTGAAAGTTCAGGAAGCTCTGGACAGATGGTCAGCTCACTCCTCTGAATCCCTTTTGTGCATCAAGTCTATTGAAATCTTAGGGACGTGAGTCTCAATATCACAACAAAACATTTCTGAGATAAACAGTAGTTCACAAAAAGACACAGAAAATTTTAATTTCTTTTAAATTCCCAGTTAACTAGCTTAGGTTTACGTAGTTGTAATTGTGTATTTCCTTTCTCTGCAGCTAGAATAAACATAAACTGTCAGTCTCTGAAACAAAATGAATAAAATTAATATGGGGGGCAATTTTAGTGTATTTCCAAACGCTGCCTTTTCATAAACTTTAAAGAATATTTTGCTTTTGGGTCTTAATTTATTAAAACTTATGGCCTGGTAGTGTCCTGTCCATCCAGATGATGTTGCAAGTCTTTGCAAATATGTAGTACCTGATTAGATGGTTCAGGCCCTTCTTTGGTCATGCTCCAATCTTTTTGGATTGGAAGTGTTACTATCACAAGCACCAGTCACTGCAAGAAGTAGGAAGTGAAGCCGCTTCAAAGAAAACCTTTTTCCTTTTTTCAACTGTTTCAAACATTTGTATTATGAGTCATGGTTCCAGGAAGAAAGAAACTCCTACATCTTGGGAGTTTATTTTCCACATTCCATTAACGGATTCTGAAAGGATGAATGGGACATTTGAAAATGCCAAAAAAAAAAAAAAAAATCAATTTATTTGAGAGAACTTTTAATCATTTTACTGTGGTATAATTAGAGGAAATTTAAAATTCAAAACAAGGCAAAACACTTCTTTGAAGGCCAGAGAAAAATTTTTCTGACCTTCCTAAGATCTTATTAAGGCCTGCCTACCTTAGGAGGTTTTTGTAGAAAGGAGCTAGTCTGAATGCATTGTTTTAGTTCGTTAATTCACATTTATTCATTAACAAGTATGTATCAAATGTCTTAAGTGTTTCAATCAGCATGCTGTGTCCCTGGGGGTACAAAGGTAAGCAAGACAAATTCCCTGCTTTCCAGTAGCCCCTGATCTAGAAAGGAAGGTAGAAAATATACCCCAGTCAGTTCAAGGCAACACAGACAGAACTTTGAGATGCTTAAAATGGGTCAGAAAGAGAGGACCAGGAAAGCATCTGAGTCATCTTCAGAGCAGGCCAGCGGACCTCATGTTGTGCTGGTCTCAGAGAGACAAATTGATTCAATCAGCCATCTCCCAAAGTCCATTCCCTCCTGCTCCTTTCTATTATATGTTTTCTCTTCTTCTCATTCTACTCTGACCTTTCTCATTTTTCTCTTGTCTTTCTTGAATGCCCGTTTACTCCTCTGGGATTCACTTCTCACACATTCCCAACCCCTCAGTCCTCAGTTCTCTGCTCTCCTTTTTTTAGGAGGGTCTCTGTTGGATTTTGAGAAGGTTAATAGTTTTGTGAAAATTATTTCAAAAGTGTTTTAGGTACAAACTTCCAACTCCAAAAGGTAGGAGTCCCAGGGCTGTGATGTACATCATAGTAAGGAGAGTTAATAAATTGTCTTGCATATTTGAAAGTTGCTAAGAGAATAAATCTTAAAAGTCCTCAGCGCAAGAATAAAAATTGTATCTGTAGAGGGTGATGGATGTTAACTAGACTCACTGTGGTGATCTTTTCACAACATATAGTGTATGAATATTCAATCATGTTGTACATCTGAAACCAGCATCATGTTGTATGTCAATTATATCTCCAAAAAAATGGCCAAAAGAATTGTTTTAAAGACTGCCCAGCCCTGGAGTTGGTTTTTCTTTGGGCCAACTGAGCGTGGAAGCAAAGACGGGAAGAGGGAATGGTGGGGAATGGGAATGGGCAGGTACACACTATTTTGCCCTGAACATCTCCCTTTTCTGTAAAATCTTTCTTTTGTCTTTGCCTTTTTTTTTTTTTTTTCTTTTTGCTTGGGAGGGATAGATCTCATGGGAAAGAAAATGGTGAAGAGGTAGAGAAGCTGAAGTAATTTTTCCTGGGGGAACTGCACTTGGCCCAAAAAAGGCAAAGTCTTCTAGACTATTCTTGGGGTGGCCCACGGGCTTATGAGAATCACCCCTTTCTTTGCCCGAGCTCTTATTTTATGTGCATCTCTGTGCTCAGAGGTCATATGCATGCTTTCATTTGATCCTCACACAAAGTCCAGCGTGGACAGATCAATATCCACATTTGCATCATGGCTTACCACGCGCTATCAGTGATGTCACTGAATGCCAAGTTGGGAAGAGACGCTGTCAATCGGCATTCCAGGACCCGTGGGCTCCGGCAACCCACTAAAGGCATCTCTAGTTGGTAGCACATGTATAGGATCGAGCTTCCTTACCTGCTCTCTACTAACCAGTCTCCAACTTAGTAAGTCTCAGACTTAAGTAGCTATTCTTGAATGATCCATTTTTAGCAGGGACACTTGGCTTTGTTCCCCCTAAAGTTATTCTCATCACCCAGACTTCGCCACCCCCACCCCTGCTTCCTACCTGTTTACTGTCCCTTCTCCAATCCTTTCTCATTCACTGCTTTCCCCTCCACTCCCTGTGCCTACACCTTCTGGCTGACTCTCTAGCTGAGATGCCTTGTTGCAGGGTAGGGGCAGGAGCTCTCTCTGCAGCCTGACTGCTGGGTTTAAATTCCCGCCCTCTCACTCATTATCAGAGAAATGCAAATCAAAACCACAATGAGGTACCATTACACGCCAGTCGGGATGGCTGCTATCCAAAAGTCTACAAGCAATAAATGCTGGACAGGGTGTGGAGAAAAGGGAACCCTCTTACACTGTTGGTGGGAATGCAAATTAGTACAGCCACTATGGAAAACAGTGTGGAGATTTCTTAAAAAGCTGGAAATAGAACTGCCATATGACCCAGCAATCCCACTTCTGGGCATACACACCGAGGAAACCAGATCTGAAAGAGACACATGCACCCCAATGTTCATCGCAGCACTGTTTATAATAGCCAGGACATGGAAGAAACCTAGATGCCCATCAGCAGACGAATGGATGAGGAAGCTGTGGTACATATACACCATGGAATATTACTCAGCCATTAAAAAGAATTCATTTGAATCAGTTCTAATGAGATGGATGAAACTGGAGCCCATTATACAGAGTGAAGTAAGCCAGAAAGATAAAGACCATTACAGTATACTAACACATATATATGGAATTTAGAAAGATGGTAACGATAACCCTATATGCAAAACAGAAGAAGAGACTCAGATGTATAGAACAGACTTGTGGACTCTGGGAGAAGGCGAGGGTGGGATGTTTCAAGAGAACAGCATCGAAACATGTATATTATCTAGGGTGAAACAGATCACCAGCCCAGGTTGGGTGCATGAGACAAGTGCTCGGGCCTGGTGCACTGGGAAGACCCAGAGGGATCGGGTGGAGAGGGAGGTGGGAGGGGGGACCGGGATGGGGAATACATGTAAATCCATGGCTAATTCATTTCAATGTATGACAAAAACCACTGCAATGATGTAAAGTAATTCACCTCCAACTAATAAAAATAAATGGAAAAAAAAAAGAAAGAAGAAATAAATAAATAAAAGAAAAAAATTAAAAAAAAGAAAGAAAATAGTAGAAAACAAAATGGTAAAAAAAAAAAAAAAAATTCCAGCCCTCTTTTACTGGCTATGTGACCTTGGGCAAGTTACTTAGCCCCTCTGTGCTTTTAACTTTCTCATCTGTAAAGTGGAGGCAATAATTATACCACATAATATAAAACCCTTGTTATATCGGCCTTGGAAATATTAGTTCTATTGGTTTGTTTACTCCTGGGCGGCCTCCGCTATCTGAGTGTTACCTCTTTCTCCCTGCCTGTCCTTTTGCTGCCATAAGAAAACCAGGACCTGTGCCTTTCACAACTGTCCCATGTCCTGTTTGGCTCCCTTTGGGTAGCCACACGATCACCCCCAGTCCCACTGCCTGCCTCTCCCCACCCTCCTTAGCCGTCCCTAGTCATCCCCACTCCCCACACGCCTCACTTCATTTCCCTTAGTGGAAATGTCAGGCCCTTTGCTCTCACCAACAGAAGGATGTGGCGAACACAGGCCTTCCCTAGGCTGAGAGTTTGTTTGCTATGTTATTTCTCTTGCACCCTTCACCCCCACCTTTTGGAATTAGGTGACTTTATCCTGCCCTGCCCTTCCAGGTGGCCCAGTGTGAACACCTTGATTTAACTTTAGAATGGAGTTGAGGACAGCTGATTTTCTTCTTGGCTAAAAGGTGAATGTTGAATATGTGGACCTAGCCAGGGCAGTAAACACCTTTATGGCAATCCCCCTGATCACTTTCTGATCACTTCATTCCAGACCTGGCCCCTGGGAGAAGTCTGGCTAAGATGGAGATGGCCAGTGCTGCATTTATTTTTTGTCTAATCCTTATACATCTTTTCCCCCACTAGGGAGACAGTTGAGTTTGGTACCTCCTTTCCCAGGATGGAATTTGACAAGCTATTCCGGCTACATCACCGTGAATAAGACTTACAACAGCAACATTTTCTTCTGGTTCTTTCCTGCAAAGGTAGGCCTGCAGCAGTGTCCGCACAGGAGCCTGGTGCTCAAGAGCTGACTGTGTTGATCCAGGTGGAAACGTCGGTCTACAATCAACCCAAGGGTGGTTTTTTGTGTTTTTTTTTAATCTTTTAGATTTTTTTTTTTTTCTAAAAATAAGTGCCAGTGATTCCATGTAGTGTTCCTGTTTATGTGCAGGAAACAAATGTTAGTGGGGGAGGTCCAACTTTTTAAATTCCTTGCAACCTTATTCAGAGTATTAGTGCTGCTATCCTCTTCCTGCCACGATCTTCTTCCTATCTTTTTGTTGCTTTATTCTAAAAATATTTGGGGGCAGGGATGGGTGGTGGGGAGCAAGGAAGGACAGGGAGAGGGGAGATCCCTGAAGTTGACAGGTCATGCATGTCTAAGCCTGTCTACATTTAGTCAGGCATTGCCTGCTCTGTCTATGGACTTTACAGTGCCAACTACTGTTGTTATGCTCACTCCTCTGTGCATCCAATACCCACTTACTGTGTAGAACTCTGTGGGGACATAAAAGGCGAGAGAACTGAACTCACTCTGTGGGCTGTTAGGGGAGGGCTGGGAAGGACTGGTGACCCAGGATGGCTTCTGAGGAGGGGTCTCTTCACCTCACATCCGTACAGACATAGGTTCATATATCCTTGTACTTTACCAGCTGTGTTTAGCTCAATTCAAGGTCACATGGTGCTTCAGCATGGACAGATCCCTTTAGGCTTATGGATACTATTGGGGGTTATTGTAAGAGGTACTGAGATGCATACATAAATCTTACCCCACCACTGGGTAATTTTCTATTTTTATTTTCCAAATTGAGTTTGCTTCAGAAGCCAGAGAAAACAAAGAAAAAGTTATCCCTGTAGAGGGTAGTGTTTATTTTTGCATACAATTTGCATTTAACAGCACTGTATATGTAATGACTGCATAAATTGTTTAAACAAAGTTTCTTCCCTTGGTACTGTGGGGCTTTTCATTTCTGCTTTCTCAGCGGTGGCCTCTGATTGTTCATCAGGTGGTTGTGTGGGGGAGTGGAGAAGGCCTGTAAGAAATGGTGAGGGATTCCAGGTTCTTAGTGGCTGGGGCTCATAGTAGTTTTTGGGCTGTCACCACTCTGGGAGGCCTCTCCAGGACCCCTTATTTCTTCCTCATTGTACTCGAGTGAGGCAAGTAAGGTTCCTAGAGCACAAAATTTAAGGACTCACTTTCATGGGTGAGCACCTAAGAATTGATGCTTTTGAACTGTGGTGCTGGAAAAGACTCTTGAGAGTCCCTTGGACTGCAAGGAGATCAAACCAGTCAATCGTAAAGGAAATCAGTCCTGAATATTCATTGGAAGGACTGATGCTGAAGCTGAAACTCCAATACTTTGGCCACCTGATGTGAAGAACTGACTCACTGGAAAAGACTCTGAAGCTGGGAAAGATTGAAGGCAGGAGGAGAAGGGGATGGCAGAGGATGAGATGGTTGGATGGCATCACTGACTTGATGGACGTGAGTTTGAGCAAGCTCCAGGAGTTAGTGATGGAGAGGGATAACTGGCATGCTGCAGTCCATGGGGTCGCAAAGAGTTGCACACAACTGAGGCTGCACTGATCTGAACTCATGGGGGTACAAGTGCACGGCTGGCACCTGAGTGTCCTCTAGACTCCTGCTGGAAACCCTCTTGGGGGAGCCCAACTGGAAACCAGAGGGCGAGGGAGTCTGGTCCATTGAGGTCTGCCTACCAGGGCACGGAGCCAAGTGGAGACTGGATTTTCAGAAGCAGTCAAGAAAATATCTGAATATCCACTACAACGATGTTGAGGACAGTTGGTATAAATTAAGCCTAGAAAGATGACCTATTTTTGACAGGTGGGAAATTTCCTTGTGTTCTTAGAAGTCTCTTAAACTTTATGCCTTTCAGAAACCATACTGTATGGTTTGTGGTATCACATCTATCTATGTAATATGCAAATGCAGGCATTTATCATGAATTGCAGTTGTATGAGTTTTCAATTGCCATTGTACAAATTTAGTCACTTAAACAACACAGATTTATTATTTCACAGTTCTAGAGATCAGAAGTCCAATACAGGGCTCACTGGCCTAAAGTCAAGTTGTTGGCAGGGCTGCGGTCCTTCTGGAGGCTACGGGGGAGAATCGGTTTCCTTGTCTTTTGCAGTTTCTAGAGCTGCTGGCACACCTTGGCTCAATGGCTCCCTTGCCTGTCTTCACAGCCCATATCAGTGAGCTGAATACTTTGCACATTGCATCACTTTGGCCAACTCCTTATTCATCACCTTCCCTACTCTTATATTTTGCCTCTCTCTTCATATAAGGACCCTGGGATAACTTTGAACCTACCTGGATAATCCAGGGTAAATCTCCCTATTTTAATGTCAGTTGAATAGCAACCTTAATTCCATCTACAACCTTATTCTTCTTAAGAATTAACATATTCACATGTTCTAGGGATTCGGATGTGTACATCTTTGAAGGCCTTTATTCTGTGCAAAATGGATACTTGAATTTACCCAGTGATTCACAATATGTTGTTTTATTTTATTGTACTTAGGAATGATCTTCAAATTCCCCAGAGATTCTGACTCATAAACTAGGAGAGGCTAGCAAATTGTAGGATTAGCAGGTGAACCATGCTTCAGAAATCATCGCTTCAGCCTACAGGCTACTATCCTGGATTCAGTGTTCCTGACCCCAAAGTGACTCACACTTCTTTTGCCAGAAAGAAACAGCCAGAGCAGGCAAACCCCGATGGAGGTGGTTGTGTTATCCCATTCACTTACCTAGGATTCAGGCTAGAGTGGGGGACTGAGGAGGTGAATGCAGCCTTTGGGGTCAGCTCTCCTAATCCTGCCGCTGCTGGGTCTCCAACTCCAATGCACTCTGCCTCTCCACCCTCACCCTAGCCCTGCCAAACCCGATTCCTTATTCTCTCTTCTGCTTTGGTGGCTGGTTATGATACCAGTGAGCTCCTCATTGATTTCTGCATGATGTCTTTTTTTTTTTTTTTGGTAATAATCCAGATTTGTGAAAACAGGGAAGTGATTAAACAAAAACAAAATGAAGACTCAGTCTTCTCCTTTTTAGGTTGCCTCTAAGCAGGTGGACAGCTTTATCAAGGAGACTGGTGATTCTCTGGGACTGTAAAGCTGGTCAGGGAAAAGGGCTTAGAGTTTACACTCACTCCTAGTTGCTGGACTGAAACCCCTTGCAGTAAAATAACTGGACTGTTGGAGCCCCCCTTTAGTTAGAGAAGACCTGCCTATGCACCCCCAGATTATGTTCTCTGGGGGCCCAGAATTGTAGCCCTAAACACATTCTAAGATGATCCCAGAAGACTTGAAACTGAGGCCACTGCAGCATGAAAGATGCTTAAGAATATAGTCTTCTATTGGAAGTGATAGACTGTGCTTCAGGAGAGAGGCCCAGAGAGATGAAAAGACGGTTCTGTTGACAGGTTATCACCACATGGCAGCTGGGATAGATAGTTCCAAGACCTCCTTCAGGGGAGCCCACACACATAGCCAGGTCTTCAAGGTCCCAAAGCAACCTTTCCTGCTGAGGCAGTCAGGCTATAAATTATGGACCAGGCCATTTTGGGTGAAGGAGATAAAGCATGCGACAAGGAGAAGCAGTGGTCACTGAGATGGCAGAGAGTTCCTTTCATTTGGCAGGAATAATAGTTTGTTGCCTGTCACAGGGGAACAGCTGATATGATCATCAGGAGAGAAATGACCCCTTACGAAAATTGAAGGTAGAGAAAATAAGAGACCCAGGAAGGATGCCACACTTGTAATAGCCCCTGGGTAATTTTTTGGACTGCTCTTTCTCAAATTAATTGTGTTTCCTGTTATTTCTGTAAGGCTCCCCTCTTATTATATACAAATCAGTGAATAATAGGTTCCAGAACTTGAAATTGGTGTGCAGTTGGGGGACACAATCAACATGAGAAATGAATAGTCATTTTTCATAGAATAAAAAGTACAATGAAACCAATAAAAATGTAACGATTATAATAGCTGCTCTTAATTGAGTGTTGACTATGTGCTAATAAGTACTGTGCATTTTTCTTTAATCCTTACCGAAAACCACATGAGGAAGGAATTACTATCTTCATTTTACAGTTGGAAGAGAATTGCAGAGATTAGATAATTAGTTCCAAGTTTCCCAACTAGAATTGGGCAGGATTAGACTTTAAAACAAAATCTCTGTTGGAGAAATATTTGCTCTTGATCATCCCAGGTTGATTGTGAGAAAACAAATTATGGAGGGCAATAAATTACAATTGTTAAAAATATGGCTCTTGAGTCAGGCTTGGATAAAACCTTGGCTCCACTCCTTATGCCAAATGTGACCTTGGGCACATTCTTAACTTCTCTGAGCATTGGTTTCCTTGTTTTAAAATGAGGCTCAAAATACCTACTGAACAATGGTTTTGAGAAAATGAGATAATATGATAAAGTCTCAGAATGGTGTTTGATATCTAATAAGTAGAGATGCTATTATTATTTCATTATCAGTATCATCTGTCATTAGTAGTTTTCCTACTATTAACACAAATACTCTACAGAACAAAACCAGACATAATTTGGGAGGTTAAAGAAGGCAGGAGATAAGGAGCAATTCCAAATTGGAAGGAGTCGGATGCCGGCCAAGAATGTGGATTAATTGTTACTGGGAAAGGAAATTACAAAGTAAAATTGGGATTTTTCATGTTTAAGAAGGATAAAAAATCATATACTATTTTTTTGAAATTAGCATCCTTTTCATTAGAAAAAGTATCCAGCACTTAAGTTTTTCTTATAGGAGCACTTTGTTGGATGCATTTATCTAAAACCTGTAGATTATTCAACTGCCATAGAGTCAAAGTCTGAGATGTCTCGAGCTGGGTCTAAGCCCCTTTCGGGCTGCCCCAGTGGCTCAGCAGTGAAGAATCCACCTGCACTGCAGGAAAGGTAGGACACGGGTTCAATCCTTGGGTTGGGAAGA